AATAAATAAATAAATATTAAAAAAAAAAAAGAAAGGAGTCCTATCCTGAGTTCAAGGCCAGCCTGCTCTAAATACTTAACAAGTCCAAGGCCAGCTTGGGCTTTATAGAAAGGCCCTGTCTGATAGCCACAGCAGCCAAAAAAGAACAATTAGTAAGAAAAAGTCTCAGTGAAAATATCTCAGAAGGATAACCAACAGGATGTGGTCAGTATAGGAGGCGGTGGCAGAAATCTCACCAACAAAAGTCTGCAGGTAACCTCTGGGCCCAGGACCACCACTGTGGTCCCTCTGTCTTCCCCGCAGGTCCGTCAGTGCTTGTGGACACCAAGTAGGTAAGGCCAGTCATTAAGAGGAGCCGACCAGAAACGCCGGAGACCCTGATTCATCTCACCTCCACCCCGTACCTCACCAGCAATTCCAGTCGACCCCACTTTCCCTGTCTCCCCATAGAAAGGGCTACTTAACAGCCGTCACGACCAACACTCCAGGCTGCACAACTACCATCTGCAGAGCTTCTTGGCTAATTTCCTGGTTTCATTGTGCACATCCCAAACCAGGCTATTCTCAAAATTGAAGCTAACAAGGTTAAAATATACATACTGCCAGGCAGGGGTAATGCACACCCTTAATTGGGAGGCAGAGGCAGGAGGATCTTTGTGAGTTCAGCCGGGTGTGGATAGCAAGACCCTGTCTCAAACAAAATAGAAAAAAAAAATACATCTCTCCTTGTGTAGCTTGTGTAAACTGCACCAACGACTTTCCCTATCCTTAATATACTTCCCAAGAGTTGGTGGCGCACGCCTTTAATCCCAGCACTTAGGAGGCAGAGGCAGGTGGATCTCTGTGAGTTCGAGGCCAGCCTGGCCAGCGAGTTCCAGGCTCCAAAACCACAGAGAAACCCTGTCTCGAAAACACAAATATGTGTGTGGTGTGTGTGTGTGTGTGTGTGTGTGTGTGTGTGTGTGTGTGTGCGTGCGCCAAACTCCTAGCTGGACGTGATGGCAAACAGTTATAAACCAAAGCAAAGACAGAAAGGTCAAGAGTACAAGGCCAGTCTCCATTATATAGTGGGTTTGAGGTAGCGAGAGCTACAGGAGACCCTGTCTGGGGAAAAAAAAGAGAGAGAGTCTAATTCTTGGGGCCGCATGTGTAACTCGGTTTTAAAGTGCAAGACTAGCGTGCACAAGGCCATGGGTTCCATCCTCAGGAACACACACACACACACACATACACACCTCCTTACTATTGCAAGTGTCAACCACACCGGTCCTGACTGTCCCTCTATTGCTAAGCGGGCTCCCACTTCGGGAATTTCCTATCTCAAGTGTTTCTTCCCAGATCTTTCCAGGGCCCGTTTCTTTTGCTTTCAAGTCTGGGTGCAAGTGTCCCCGCACGGAAAGGGTCTGCCTGACCACCCTCCATCATGTCCAAGTTGCTTAGTCATTCTTGCATCTCCCACCCCTCCGCATCCTCCTCTGGCCCCCGAGAACACCGCACGCGACTGCGGAGCACACACCTCCCCACCGGGTTCCTGTGCGCAGAGCGAGCAAGCCCAGGCCCAGACCGAGCTGTTGCTGGGCTCACGTGCTGGACTCCCAGCCTGCGCCCCGCAGACTGTGCCGGCCATCGAACCCTCACCTTCCTCCAGAGGCTCCAGGCCCGTCCCATAGCTGACCAGGTCCTCCTCGCTGTCACTGTCCAGAGCCGCCATCCAGCTCCCTTCCGGGCTCCGCCCCCTCGCTACGGAAGCTTCTATGGGCCAAAAGCCTTCCCACTTTCGCCTCCGTGTGCCTGAGCACATCTTAAAGTTTAGTTGTTCATTTGTGAGGGAAATGCCACCTCCGCCCGGGCCTAGTCCTTTGCGAGGCAGACTCGGGTTTCAGTTACGATTGCTATCTATAACAGCCATCCTGGCCCTGTCATGTGCCTGAGTATTGGGAGAACAAGGCAGTAAGACGCTCGATGCCATCCAAATGTCAGGAGGCAGAAAGTACCTGTCCCTCAGCTAGCTCCTTGGCCCCTTCACTTCCTCAGCAGCAATCAGTGCCAACCCTGATCATCCACCCATCCTAACCGCCCTCCGGAAAAGAGCTGTGCACTCAGGCACCACTGTCTGGTCCTCTGCAACTGGAGATGAGAAAGAACACAACAGGCAGAAGTGTATGTAGTACACATACTATAAATGGATGGGGCCACACACACGCACACTCACACACAGTATTCTTGTTATCCTTATATTTGTAAAAGCGAGGTCTCCTTCTAGACTTCTGGAAGGATTCACTGACTCTGAGAATATCAGAACCCATGGCCAAAGATGAGACACCAGGCATGGAGAGAGAGCCGGAGGTCAGCCTAGACTACATAATCAAACACTGTCATAAATAATCAAATAAATAGGAAGGTAAAAGAAAAGGAGATGTTGCTGAAAGGTTCCTCCCTTTTCCACTCCACTCACAGGCCATCCAACTCCTTTCAGCCACGAGGACAACCCCTGGAGCACACCCAGCTCACTTCCAGTTCTCTCGGTGGCTAGCTCTTCCTCTGTATCACGGCTCACTACCTCAGTTCCTTCAGGTCTGGTCTTAGAAAGGTAACTCTGTCTGAGAAGCCTTCTTTAACACTATCGAAAAGACAGTATTCTCAGCCGAGGATGGAGAAGTGAGGTACATGAGCCGTCCAACGCTCGCCTGGAGCGCAAGAGGTCTATCCTCCCTGAAATAAACTGCAGAGCAATCTCTATATTCTCAGCCACTACTCCTGTTTTCTCAGTATTTCTTACCTTCTAATATATTATATAATTTAATTGTGTCGTTATTATTTTTCTTTTTAAAAGATGGATTGTTTTTATGTTGTGTATATGAGCGTTTGTCTGTTTGTGTGTATGTGCACCACATGTGTGCCATGCAGGCAGGTAGACAGCGTCTGACCCACTGGAGCTGAAGTTACAGGTAGCAGTGAATGCTGGGAACAGAACCGAGGTCTTCTACAAGAGCAGCAAATGCTCTTAACCAAATCTATTTAGTTGTTTTACTGTCAGTCTCCCTCCTACAAAATGTAAGTAGTTAGTTTATTGTTAGCTCTCTCTCTATAGATAGATAGATAGATAGACAGACAGACAGATGATAGATAGATAGATAGATAGATAGATAGATAGATAGATAGCTATAGATATAGATATATATGTTTCTCTCTGTGTGTGTGTGTGTGTGTGTGTGTGTGTGTGTGTGTACTTGATCAGTATGGTGGCCAGCCCCTGGGAAGAAGCAGAGATAGGAGGATACGAATTTGAAGCCAGCCTGGTCTATATCGCAAAACCTCATAAAAACCAGGCCGGATGACTCACCCCTGTTATCCTAGCATGGGGAGGGTGAGAGTGTGGGACGGAAGAGCAGGAATTCTAGGCCACCTGTGGTTATCTACCAAGTTAGACATCAGCCTAGGCTACAGGACTCCCTATCTTACAATATGTACACAGTGGGGCTGGCGAGATGGCTCAGGTTTTTGTTGTTGTTTTTAATTTGGTTTATAGAGACAGGATTTCTCTGTGTAATAGTCCTAGGTGTCCTGAAACTAGACCAGGCTGGCCTCAAACTCCAGAGATTTGCCTGTCTCTGCCTACTGAGTGCTGGGATTAAAGGCGTGCGCCACTACCACCTGGCTTGATGGCTTAGTTTTTAAGATTATATATATGTATCAATTCCCAGCAACCACATGGTGGCTCACAACCATCTGTAGTGGGGTCTGGTGCCCTCTTCTGACCAGCAGGCACACATGCAGAGAGAACACTGTATACATAATGAATAAATATATTTTAAAAAAAAAAAGATTATTTGTTGTTTCAGGTTTAGTTCCCAGCACCCACATGGTGGCTTACAGCTGTCTCTAGTTTCAGAGACTTCAATAACCCCTTTTGGATTCCCTAGGCACCAGACACCCAATAGTGAGCTGACATATAAGCAGACAAATACTCATACCTATAAAACAAGGATAAATAAATGTTAAACACACACATAATCAATCAAGTAAATAAATATTTCTTTTTTAAACTGATACATAACCAGGTAATAGTGACATGTGACTTTAATCCCAGCACTCAGGAGGCAGAGGCAGGTGGATCTCTGAGTGTGAGACCAGCCTTGTCTACAGATTGAGTTTTGGAACCACCAGGGTTACAGAGAGAAACCCTGTCTCAAAAAAACAAAAACCAAGATAGAAAGAGAGAGAGAGAGAGAGAGAGAGAGAGAGAGAGAGAGAGAGAGAACCAACAACAAAGAAACCTGATGCATAAGAATGTAAGAACAGAAGAACATAAACAGGTTGGGTGGATGGTGGTGGTGCACACCTTTAATCCCATCACTTGGAAGGCAGAGGCACCCTGATCTCTGTGAGTTCAAGCCCAGCCTGGTCTAGAGAACAAGTTCCAGGACAGTCAAGGCTACACAGAAAAATACTGTCTTGAAAAAAAAAACAAAGCAAAAAATACAACCTAATGTGTACCATGTAATTTTAAAGGGCTTATTTATTTATTTGTGTGTGTGCCTTTGTGAGTTTGTGTAGTACCACATGTGTGTCTTCTGGAAGAGCAATAAGCTCTCTTAACTGCTGAATCATCTTTTCAGCTCCTACCCCACCCCATTCTGTAATGATACATGAGTATACATTGTATTTTCTGTGTCTTTGGTTTACTCACAAATATATCTAGTATGCTCTGTAAGTCCAGGAGTTCTACCCATTACATTGTATAATGTGTAAACCAGTACAGATATATCTATCTTCTCAAATGTTTATCCTTCCTTGCTTGTTTAGATTAGTTTTTGAAACACGGTCTTACATAGATCAGACTAGTTTAGAACTTCCTAAGAAGCCCTGTTCGACTTTGAACCTTTTGTTTTTGTTGTTGCTGCTGTTGTTTGAGACAGTATTTCTCTGTGTAACAGCTCTGGCTGTCCTGGAATTGACACTGTAGACCAGGCTGGCTTCGAACTGATGGAGATCCACCTTCCTCTGCCTCCCCAGTGCTAGGATTAGAGGTGTGCGTCACCACCTGGCTTTTTGTGTGTGTTGGGGGGGGCACACACAAAAGGTGTGTATTTTACCTGTATGTATATGTGTGCACCATGTGTGTGTGTGCCTAATATCTGTGCAGCCAGAATACGACATGGAACTAGAATTAAGGATAGTTATGAAATACCATGTAGGTGTTGGGAATCAAACCTGTGTCCTATGGAAGAGCAGCCAATGTCTTAACTCCTGAGCCATCTCTCCAGGCCTTGACTTTGAACTTTTGGTTCTACTGCCTCCACCACCTCAGGCCTTCCATCAGAGGCATGTGCTACTACACTCTATATATCATTCCTTTAAGATGAAAACTTCCAAGCTCCTTTTCCCCCTTGTTTTTGGAATGTAAAGTATATTGTTATCTGTAGGGTCCTACTGTGCAATAACCAGCAGAACTTCTTGCTCCTAGTTAAGTGTTCCTTAGTGCCCCTGGACCAGCCTTTCCCCATCCTCTCTTCTCATCTCTTCCCTCCCTAACCTCTAGGAACTACTCTTCCTTCTTCTTCTTTGATGAAATCATTTGTTAGGATTTTGCATATCAGTAGATCTTGTGGTACTTGTCTTTCTATATCTGATGTGGGATTCCCCTTTGCATGCTGTGATTACCACTGATTAATAAAGAAACTGCTTTGGGCCTATAGCAATGCAGAACAGAGATAGGCAGGGAAAACTAAACTGAATTCTGGGAGAAAGAAGGTGAAGTCAGGAGAAGTCATATAGCCCCGCCAAAGACAGACACCAGATGGAACCTTGCAGGTAAGCCACAGCCACGTGGCAATAAACAGATTAATAAAATGGGTTAAATTGAGATGTAATAGCTAGCTAATAAGAAGCCAGAGCTAATAGGCCAAGCGGTGATTTAATTAATACATTTTCTGTGTGGTTATTTCAGGGCTGAGCAGCTGGGAACAAACAAGTGGCTCCTACAACATATATCTGGCTTGTTTTATTCAACAGAATGAATGTTCTCTGGTTCCATCGACACTATTGAAATTGAAAGGATTTTTTATTCATCTATCTATCTATCTATCTATCTATCTATCTATCTATGTGATAAAGCCTCATTAGCCCAGGCTGTCCTTGAACTCACTATGTAGCTGAGGATGCCCTTCAACACTTGATCCTCCTGCCTCCACCCCCTAACTGCTCAGCAGGTTTTCAGTCTTCTATGTGGTTTGAATGAGAATATTCCCCATAGGTGCAGATGTTTGAATACTTGGTGCCCAATTGGTGGAGAGGTGGCCTTGCTAGGGAAAGTATATCACTTTCAGGTTTCAAAGCTATGTGCAATTCCCAGTTTGCTCTCTCTGCTTCCTATTTGCAGTTCAAGCTCTTAGCCAAGTGTGGTGTTTTACACCTCTAACGTCAGCACTCAAGAGGCAGTGGCCAGAGGATCGCTGAGGCCAACCTAGTCCAAAGAGCAAGTTCCAGGACAGTCGGAACTATACAGAGAAACTCTGTCTCAAAAAACAAAACAGAAAAATGATGAAGGCTCTTAGGACTGGACATATACATGCCTGCAGTAAACAGACATGCAGGCAGGCAGGCAAAACATCCACACACATAAAATAAAAGTGTAAAAGGTGTAAGTTCTTAGCTCTGGACTATCAGCGTGGATTCCTATCCCTCTGGAATCCTAAATCCGAATAAATTCCTTTTTCTGTTGGTTGCCTTGGTGGCATGGTGTTTTATCACA